CGTTGAAAGGCAGATTTTTCCCCACATTTAATGTTATATGACAGACTTCTCACATGTACTTTAAATTCTGTAAAAGCTCACTTGAGCTCATGTCGAATTGTTGTTTTAAATCATGCCGATGTTAAATTAATCTTAACTTATTTAATAGTTTTAATATTCAAGTACCCTGTGTCCTTCTATTATGATTTGACACTTTTCTTTATATCTTTACAGCTTCATTTAAAGATCTGTCGTAATATATAATGGTGATTTCTCAGTATTGATTGAAGTACTGAAGACCCATAGTAGTGCAACATTCAAACACGCAGACGTAATATACAATACAAAACCAAACTTCAAACGGCTTTCACGTAGAATCAAACGGCTTTCACGTAGAATCAAAAAGAAAAACATTGTCCATAGAAGTTTGCGTAAGGTTAAAACAGTCTGTCTGAGTGACGCATACCCTGAAGGTTTATTTGAGTGCATGCATGCTAACTGATTTGATTTATAGACTTATTTAGGTCCTTCTGTCATGCACGTCTTTACCTCGTATGCATGTAAAGCAAACTATTCGGGGATTAATTGTTGTCACAATTCAATACCCTATCGAATGTGTAACATGCAAGTATGTGTGCTCTGTAAATTTCCACCACAATGTTTCATATCGTCTATAAAACTTTGGTTGGTCAGTTATGCACAATAACGGTGCAATTAATGGGTGCAAAAAAGTTTTGTTTTTTGAAAAAGTGAACATTCTTATCAAAATTTTTTATGTATTAAAATGAATTGTTTTTCTTCAAAATTTTAAAGACTGAAAGGATGTCATCATCAATACAATATTTACAGAGTAATTATTTGCTGCCTGAAGATAGCCAAATACAAAATTAATCAATGTGAAATGTACTGGCTGGATATCCTTTGTTCGATCCTCGTTTGAGTCATACAAATGACATAAATAATGATATTAGTAGATGCCTCGCTTGGCATTCAGCATTAAGAGGTTATTATTGAGACCTGATCAGCCTGGTGTCAGAATAATTTGACTGGGTGTTACATAAAATACATGTCTGCGGCAAGATTCTTCACTGCTAGACCTCACTATGAACTGCTACACTGCAAATAAAGTATCGATATGACTTAAAAACTGTTAAAGCTACGTTGAAAATCTAAATCACACACACCTTTGTTATTCTATAACTTTATTTTCACCAGCTTAAAATATCTACAACCCTCCTGTTAACATTCTAATGCCGTACTACTGTTACTGAAAAGAAAATATTTTGTGTGCAATATATTGTAATATTCTGTCACGTACCGAAATGTACTCAATTCAGATGCTTACAAAATTAAACAATCCATACTTTCTACTTGTAAAGTCTGCTGACTCAAGTCACACAAATAATAGCAAATACATCTAAAATTCATTGAAACGCTAATATTTAAACACGATAGACTTAGCAAAACACGTCATCATAACAAACACTCAACCGTTTTTGTTGGGTATTTTTACAGAATAAAAATGCAAAGAAAATATCACTTTGATTAATACATAAGTAGACCAGAACAAAACAGATTTTCACTGTTATTAAATATATCTTTAACAATGTATTAATATAATACCGTCTTTCCGCCAGGCAAACAATAGTTTCATGGTTAAATCAAGGAATTCAAAGATAAGAACTCTCTTGCATATAGCCATCTGTACTTGCACATAAAAAGTCTAACTGCAAACTGCACAGTCGCCAATCTCTCATCTCATAATACGCCGGCAGGTCCTGGTCTGTGCATTTCTTTAGGAATAATCAGTATAGCAAAGAAAATAGACCTTGATATACTGGCACATCATACCATGGCATATCAGTATCTTTGTTGGTATTTATTTTTATTTTTTTTTTGCAGTTCGACTTAATTTATAATTCAAACTTGCAAATTCATGTTTACATTCACCTTATGTAGTCCATTCTTGTATCATTTTGCTGTGAACTCTATAATTAACATATTTGCATGAACGATAACACAGACTAACATAACATATCCTTTAATACGCAAATATGAAACAGAAAACGTTTCTTACTTCGAAGAAGGAATAAATAAGTAAAATGGTGTGTTTCCTTTGCCTTTTTCATATATAAAAATTTTCGCATTTTAAGGAACAAAAAAAAATGGATCAAAATAAAAGACTTGGACTTAATTTTATCTCACTATGAATCTCAAAATGTTCACAAGTTCAGAAGCACTTTTGGTCTGAGCAAATAAGTCCTGCTGGCTCGCTATTCAACCCTACCACTGCTAGCTTTCGGATGCTGTGACCTTCTAAAACGTTTGCTCTCTCTCTCTCTCTCTCTCTCTCTCTCTCTCTCTCTCTCTCTCTCTCTCTCTCTCTCTCTCTCTCTCTCTCTCTCTCTCTCTCTCTCTCTCTCTCTCTCTCTCTCACGCACACACACACTCATACACACACACACACATATATATCATCGTAAGTTATACTTTGATATCTACATTTTCTATGTTTGTTTTCCCGATATAACATTGGGATTTGGTTCTGCCGGCGATTATCTGAAACCCATATAGGTATATATAATTCATAATCACATTATTTACATGTTTTCTTTGCTTTTTATTAATAAGGTATCCACTTATAACGATATGTTCGTTGTCTGCTCTGATAATCCATCCAATTATCAATGATAGCATCATAGAATATCTTTGCATATATATATATTTAAACCTATGGTTTGATGCGCTATTTATAGTTAAGCCTCCTTAAATAGCTTTCTTAAATATTGTTGATTTGATTGTTTGATTATTTGTAGCCAGTGTTGAGAATATATTTCTCAATCCGAATAATTAGCCAATTACTAGGAATAGTGATAATAAAGTATAGAATTCTCTGGTCGTTATGGTAGAACTGATTTGGTTCGTACCTTGAAAGATAACCTAATAAGTATGTTATTAAATTATGTCCGATCAATGTCCTTCGGCTGTGTAATGTTATTGCAAGTTTAGAGTCTTTCCGATATGATGTCTATGTAAAGATATTTCTGTCAGACATGAAAGCAAAATCTGTATCGAAACATGTACCTAGGAAGTGCATCTACAGCTTCAAGAGACACATTTATCTTGTTAGGACAACAAACAAATGGTAATAAACCGCGTCGAAGTGTTTCATTAGATTTAAATTTTAGCGTGCACATTGGATTTGAATTTGATGTTGATCATTGTTTAAAAAAATTTTCGAGTGAAACATGTGATAAAACTTGAAAGCATGTGGGTAAAATTCATTTTAATTTTGCAAGCTCAATACCTAAAGCGTTTCACACGATGTTGAACGCAATTATTGACTTTGATGTTTACTTTCTAAAAGGAAGATACAAACAAGAGGCTCAAACTTAAAGCAGACATAGATGGCATATGAATGTATTTTATGTTAAGCTAGTAGTCCTCCTGTATGTGTCATTTCGAATAAACATCAACCGTGGACCCATTTATGCTCAAATTTTAAATTTCGGAAACTGCCTTTAAAGAATCAGTAGTGAAAACTGATTTGTTTGTCACAATTTTGCATTTAAAATTATCATATCCCGATCCAGATGGAATATTGGATACGTGCAAGTCCCTGGTAATCTATTAAAGAAATCAAAAGCACTCCTACTCCCTGTTTCATTAAACGACTTGATCAACCGGCACAGCTTATTATTTATCAATGTCAACGGTATCAAGCGTGCTCTCTGTAATACACAACCATACATTTAAATCAAACATCCTGCAATCGATATTAAATGATAAAGATGAATCCATCAATGCACGAGTCACATTATCAATGTACAAATAAAAAGCCTGTTCATACAAATAGAGTTTAAAAATACGGTGACAATTCCTAAGTTAAAACGATTTATAATTGGAACCTATACAGATACTTTCTAATGAGCAGAACGCATTTAATATTATTTGCTTTCTGATTTGAACAATAAATATACAAAAATTTAATCGAAAACATATTTATAGAGACAACATGGTCTAAAATCCTCTGAAAGCTCTCAAGACACCAGAAGGAAACTCATTTGTGGTTCGTTTCAAAAACAGCAAACGTTGCCTCAGAATGGGGAATTTAATTTAAAATAATTTCAGATGTTACAGAAAAACTCTGCTGCCTGAAAAGGAGCACTAAAATCTAGTAAAATCTGACATAAGTAACATTTCATTTGAATTTCCGTTTTAAGAGGAAACAGGTTTGCAGTGGTGGTTTTGAATAACACAGTAAGACCGACTGTGGGTGATTTACGAGTGCATCCGAAAACCATAATTATCAGATCTGACTAGTCACAATCGATAGAACTCCTTCTTAAAATAACGGAAAATTTGTCTAGCGAAATTACCATCTGTTGTATGTTCCTTTCGTTTGCAATATAGGGTAAGATACGCATTAGCTTGGTTGATGATAGGCCAACGCACACACTAGCGTGGTAAATGATATTTGTCTCATGAAAGCCCTATAACTTCAATTATTTTATACGTCTACATGATTATATAAACATTTTAATGTCTATGTTTTGCATTTTAAAGACGAATATTACAAAATAAAGTATCTACACCTGTAGGTCTTATAACTAAACCACATTTAGTGCTTCTTCATACGGTACTACGGATATAATTCACGCTTTAATTGTAGTAGATGTGGAAGAAAACGATGTCAAAATCTGGAGTTTAAGCACATCACTGCTTTCATAATAAGATGTCGGCTATTAACGTATAAATTATATTTTACTTCATTTTTGTCTTGCACATGAATTATGTTATGATCTTTGATATGATTATGATTTTTAAATTAGCTTTAACAATTGTTCAGTCATATCGCTACGACATCTGCAGTGTGGCAGTTTATAGTGTCGCAGACATTTAGCATGATGTCCCACCCAGTCACATAATCTTGACACCGGGCTGACCATTCCTAACACTAACCTCTAAATGCTGAGCGTCAAGCGAGGCAGCTGTTAGTACCATTTTGTAAGTCTTTGGTATGACTAGACCGGGGATCGAACCCACAACTTTCCGCATCCATGGCGGACGCTCTAACCACTACGCCACTGGAGCGGTCATTGATTATAATAATAATATCATCATTAAAACAGAAGATACATAAGAAAACATAAGATTGGGATGATTAAAGCTTTCTCATTAAAATATACTTTAACGTATTATTTAATGTTTTACCGATTCCGACCAGAGCAGCAAGTATATTTGAGCAAATAAAGTTTTTACATTTTGGATGAGACATGAAAATTTGTAGAAAAAGCGAAACAGCGGCAATGTTTAGTGCAAACATAAATGGCAAATTATTCTCGTGTCTAAATGATAATACAGTTTCAATTTGTTGCTCTAATTCCTTTATCCTGCTGTCAGTAGAGCTCACGAAAGAATGAATGAACCTGCGCTGCATGGTATGATGGGAAATATTGTATTATTCTTGTTAATATATAATGATACATTTTTAACATGCTTTAAATATAGATAGGGAAATTAAAATAGAGAAAATGAGAAATATATCATATATATATATATATATATATATATATATGTATATATAGATATGTATATATATATGTATATATATGTCTATATATATATGTATATATATATATATATACATATATATATATACATATATATATATACATATATATATATATACATATATATATACATATATATATATATATATATATATATATATATATATATATATATATATATATATATATATATATATATATATATATATATATATATATATATATATATATATATATATATATATTATTTTAATTATCCTGAATGTTAGCGAGACGAGCTTGCACTAAAGTATGACAATTTTCAAGATCCGATCAACCGAAAGTTTTTTAAAAGGTAGTAACTGACTTAGGTCGAAGGTTTTTAAACGAAAGAGCTATTTGAATGTCGTCGAAAAGTAACCGGTAAAATTAAATTTTATCTGTATCATTGACAATAAATCATATTTAATAGCGAATGTTGACACATTGTTTATTTGTCAAGAAATATAACTCTATAAGCCCTATCTGTTTCCAATGGGAAATAATACTGTTTCAATTAAGTTTAAAATTTTTTGTCGATATCAATCATGGCATACTCTGTAACATTTGCTTTGTATTTTTGGCTAATAAATGTTATAAAGCTGTAATTTTAAGGCCTAAATCCTGGTGGCAGTTCTGTTTTTGCTGAAATGATTAGCAATTCATCTTGCATAAATGTTAGTGAATAGGCTTATATAAACCATTATACATAAAAATCCGTTCATACAGAATATTGATTATTTCTCTGCAGAGTCTCTGTAATGTTTATATACCGCGGCTGTTTTCCTTCAGCCAACTCGTTGACAATTATTAATTAGTATCCTAGGCAACGGTTGATCTGTATAAAATCTCTATATTCAGCACATTAGGTTTTCGTTTTTCTGTAAAAACGGACATATACAGAAAATATATTCTAATTAAAAAAGATCATGTATTTCTAGGTTTATATAATAATAATATACTATTAGAATCAGAAAATGAAAATGCAAAATTAAGTGTTTTCAAAATCATACAATGTAATGCTGTTTGGTAACTACATGATGATGTTTCTACCATGTACTTGTAACTGAATTTTATAGCTTAGAGTTAGAATCCTAAATTGCCATACTGACGCCCTGAGTTCGGTTCCCTTCACATACAAAATCGATGGGCAAGCTCTGGATTGTTGCTAAGATGACCTTTTTGCTTTACTTACAACCATTGTATTATCTTCATTTTATTATTAAATCAATCCTTATATTGTTTCCAAAAGATATGCTTTGTACATTTTTGTGTTTGTTGCTTTTGTTTCAAAGGTGTTTATGACGGCATTTTTATTTTGTTGCGAATATATGTAAATATATTTGCTTGCTTATATTCTTCTTCTTTAATAATGTCCATTCCTATTAAAAGGCAATGGTACTAATAAACTGTATTTGTATCTTTATATTTTAAGACCGTTGTATTAATATTTGATGTAGCAACTGTCAGATATCTCTGCCCAGAGTATTATTATTAAATTAACGTAAATATGGGACTTTTGTAATGACCGATATATTTGTATTACATCCACTAATTGTCAGGCTTTAGATGAAAATTCCAAGAGAAAATTTGTCTTACATTACAAATAACAATGTTTTCGATTTATTTTCGGCAAGATTCAGATTTTCTACAAAATGAACTAAGTCAGTGGCATATCAATGATTTTAAACAATATTTTAAGTTAATCAAAAGAACTAGCAATTCTTTTTGACAATAATTTCGAATTAAAAAAAACAAACGATACAAAGGAAAATAAAATAGTATTAATATGCAAGAATACAAACTTAACATTATTAGATCATTATAGTCCAAATAAAAACCCTCCTAATTTTAATCAACAGTTGATAACTGACTTCAATAACTATCGTGATAACTTGATACATATATATATATATATATATATATATATATATATATATATATATATATATATATATATATATATATATATATATATATATATATATATATATGTGTGTTATATTGAACAAACCAATGTCAATGGTGTAGCAGAGAGGATGGACCTTACAAATTGATTTCGAGCAACACTGTCTAAAAATAAAGATCACGCGAAACAAAAGATAAAAATTGGTCAATAATGCCAGACTGAAACCTCTAACTGAATCGAGATTTTTTTTCCATAACATCGCTACGCGCTGTTACTTTGTCGTTGACATGTTTAAACAATGATGTGAAGGATGTTTAAACAATTTTGTGAGTTTTCATTTATGCACACGTGCGTGTCATGTTTGTCTGATTACACTCTCTGATGCTGTAATTAAACCATTGCGTTATATCAATAATGATTAGTGAACCTCATTCAGCAAGGTTAATTTGAGAGCGACTAGGAGCAATTAAGAAATATATACCTGTCCGTGATTCAATTATGCAACAATTACAAGAGCGTCAAGAAACTCAATAAGAATTTACAGAATCCGCAGAACAATTATTTAAACCTATCACGAAGACTACTGAATGTATTCTTCCTGTGTTAAAAGAAACAGCGAAACAAACTTTAAAAAAGTAACGGAGCGAACTAATACAACCGAAACAAATTCAACGAGAACTTCCCGCCGAAATAGATTTGGCTCAGCCAGCTGGACAAACAGATCAGGAAGAATATGATGACGCACAACAAGAATCAGAAAGCTAAAACTAAATTATCTGATAAATTTAATGTTTTCATAGACTGAATTGCAAAGTTTAACATTGATACATTAGCTGAAACTGCTATTTTATATTATGATGATTCTAAACGATTTATAAATCCCGAGTATGCTGATGGTAAGTCGCGTGCAATGCCTCAAATGGAATTTTCGTTTACGTTTTAATGTTTGGTCAAGCTAAAAGTAAAGACATGAGATATACTGCTTACAATACAACTATGAAAATGTAATGTTGGCTTTTCAGGAAATGCAACAACAAAAAAGCAACAACAACCACAAGCACGAGATCGATCAATAAATTATTATTTTACACCTGGGAGCAATAAAGCTATCCAAAATACGTCCCTGCAATACTTATTGCACCAAAATATGAAGAACGAGATAAACATTTAAAACCTGAGTAAGTTGAAGATTCTAAACCTAATGATTAGATTGCTGCTGTTTATCTCAAATATCAAATTAATATATGACTTTGGTGATTTTGATGGGTTTAAAGAAAATGCAATGAGACGAAGAAAATCTCACAGGGAGAGAAAACCTAGCAAACAAGCTCCACAAGAAACTCAACCCCAATGCCTCCTTGGTTAAGGCAAAACTGGAAGTGGTCTGGTTACTTGTCCCGACAACGTTCTTGCCGACGTGGATATATTAGAAGTCCTAGTTGGTGGAAAACGAGCTGGTAATAATTCTTCTGAAATTATCAACGAAATTTTATCAATTTGTCAGCGATTATTTACCGGTGGTATCATTGAAATATATATTTTTCGGTCTCTTGTTAATGAAATTACCGATGATTATTATAGCGATAATAATAATAATAATTAATAATTATTATAATCAATTATTATAATTATAATTAATTATTATAATTATAGCGATAATAATAATTATTAATAATTATTATAATTATTATAATAATATTAAGAATTATTATAGCGATAATAATAATAATAATAATAATAATAATAATAATAATAATAATAATAATAATAATAATAATAATAATAATAATAATAATAATAAAAATAATAATAATAATAATAATAATAATAATAATAATAATAATAATAATAATAATAATAATAATAATAATAATAATAATAATAATAATAATAATAATTATTATTATTATTATTATTATTATTATTATTATTATTATTATTATAAAAGGTCACCAGACTAATTCACTTATTAAACAGTTAGATATAATTATCAAGATAGATGATCATACACGCTGCTCAAGGTGGACTAACCACGGTCAGGGTGATAAATTGATACCTGTAAACAATAAAACCTACGGAGATGGACTCGGCATTATTGTCGAGGGTTTATTTGGAACAATCGCACCGAAAGAAATACCGAGCACAAAGATCTTAGGCATTAAAGCTATTGACATTGTTCCTGAAAAAGGTATTAGTACTATTGGCGACGTTGTCAGTAAAGCATTATCTGCAATCAATGATAGACTATCACGATTAATACGCTGGTCACCAGCTTTTTAAACTCAGCCGGTGAAACTGGCCAGCACCGAAGTGATGCCTGCAAGTATCAGTAAAATAATAAATCAAGTCGCAAATCAAAAATCTCAGCGATGACTTAGTCATTGGCTGGTTAAAGAAAAAAACATATCAGCAATACTGACGGCAAAAAGTTGTTTTACTTCCCGAAGTGGTCTCAGTATTAGACGTTTGCCAATAACATTATATGTTCAAACGTGTACCTGATACCGTATTTGACAAGAATGCACCATTTCTCGAGGATGAGTCTGTGCGTGATTATCAATATTATTCTTACGACGCACGACAACCAA